TTCAATTATATATATATATATATATATATATATATATATATATATATATATATATGTCTGTACACATATAACATGTTTATTTTAAAGATAATAAATGGTGGGATGTTTGAGCATTTGTTTTTGCGAAAGTGTCTTCTAATAATTTGATGACTTAGAATCCCCCAAGATGACTACATTCTCTAATGAGATGCAGATCGTGACATTCTCCAGCCACCTTCACGAAAGCTCCTATTCATGGTTTAAAAATTTGGGAATGAAAGGTTTTTCATGTAAATTAGTATAACCAAGTAGCAATTCTGAAGTAGATCCATATTAGATGCTGAAGCAAATTATGAATAAAAAACTTCCATAACCTGGTTATTTCTAACATAAAAACTGCAATCTGGTGGAAAAGCATTTGGCGAATTACAGACCAAAATTGTTGCGTACCAAAGCATAGGTCATGTAGTGAAGGACAACCTAGTGAATTTTCAAAAATAAGGCTCAAAATGAAAAATGATAAGAGTAGAAAAAAATTTAAATTATAAGGCTTGGCATAGTGTTGAGAAAAAATTACGCTTCTATTAAATTTTCTGGTATTCTAAATCCTAAAAGCTGAATACAGTTTATTTACAACCATATTTTTTATAAGAGAAAAGGACCAAAATACTCATTCAATTCTTTGTGAGGGACCAAAATGATCCCCAACTCTTGTAAGGGACCAATTAATCCCTAAACTCCTTAAAAAATGGCCATTTTTGTCCTAAAAAAAAAATTTTGGGTTAATGGTGTTAAATCAAGGAGTTTTTGATCATTTTTTAAATAGATTATTTATTGAATATAATTATCAAGTAATAGTATTTAAAAAAAAAATTATTAAACATTTCTTCAATAAAAAAAATTAGTAATAATTATGGTCTATAATGATCCTAAATTAAAATTAGAATTATTAATAATTTTTTAAATTAAAATTAGAATTATTAATAAAAAAATTTATTAAAGAATATATATATATTTATTACTATTAATTAAAAATTATATTTAATAAATAATTTAATTATAAAATGATTAAAATACCCCATGATTTAACACAATTAACCTACAAAACTTGATGTTGGCATCAAAAAAGCCAATTTTTAAGGAGTTGTTGGACCAAATTGATCCCTCACAAAGAGTTGAGGGACCATTTTGTCATGATACCATTTTGATCATGTTTTAATAGATGTTGGCATCAAAGTTCATGTGCTCGCTCTCTCCCAGAGCGACCATCCTCACCAAACTCACCTACAGGAAAGCTCTTACTAACGGGACCCTCAGCCTACCTTATTGCGACTGCCAAACTCAGAGCTGTCCCTACCCGTGACATCATCTCATTCGACCCTCTCTCCATGGGCGACCCAAGATCTCTCATACAATTCTCTGTAAATGACAACAAGTACACCAATCACTAGTCCCCTTTTATCAAAGTATATGCCCACAGACTCGCTAGAGCAAACTAGCCCAACTCTACTTGCCACTACTAGATTCGCCCAAAAACAATTCGTCGAAGCCTTCCGACCATGCTCTACTGAACTAATCAGGATAAGACACATGTATAGGGTAGTTGTCGCATTGCATAGGTCACCTATGTAGCATTTTACTTTTTACTTTTTTCTCTAGATAGCATTTTTTCTATCCCTCATAACCCTATAATAAAGGGTAACGAGGAATAGCTTGGGGATCTTTTTTGATCTTTTTCGATGAATAGTAGATATTCTACCAATTTGAGAACTATATTATCCTGCATCATTTCCCTCTATTCTCTCCATTCTCAAGAATTCAACTCAACAGCTTATCATGAATGCTTGCTAGTACGGTCGGATATCATCTATAGACAAATTTTAATTTAACATGGTTTAAATAGAGACTTTAACTCTAACTAAAAGGTCCGCTGCATAAGGTCATAAGATTTATAATTCTCTATGTTGGCATGGCAACGTGGAGTAGCTTTTAAAATGTCCTAAGAACATTTCTCATGGAAACAGTGAACATTGATGCGTTTGTATTAAGGTACTCTATCAAATATACTAGTTCTTGAAAATAAATCTAACTAAGAACCTCCGGATTCAGTGAAAATCATGGTTCGCACAACAGGTCACCAAATAGTAGATATGCTTTCATTTATTAAAAAAAAAATTAAAATTAATACATTCCACCAGCTCTGAATTGCTAGAATCGTATGTTTCCACAGTAGGAGTCACAAAATGATGTTAAACGAACATAATTTGCAAATATAAATTTACCAAGGCAACAAAGCTTTCTGCTGATATAAATGATTTGTAATCTAGCATCACACAGATCACAATCAGATGAGGCCTTTTCTAACAAAAGATGAAATACCTGGAAATGTGGATCATCAGCAACAATAGCCCTATCATCCCAGGTCAAACGACCACCAAATATATTCCATATACCATTTGCATTTTGATAGTGAGCACATCGATGATTTAGAACGACATCACCAAGGACTTTAATTCCAACTTCATGAAATCTTTTGACAAGGTCTTTCAGCTCTTCCATGCTGCCATATCTGATACAGTTCACAAGAACATGTTAAATTATGTTTCGCATTTTCTAAAATAAATTTAATTCTAGAGTGGGAACTTACACTAGCAACATTCCAAAAGTTATATAATGTCATGATACCAAAATAGATTTAATTCATTGCTACTACTTACACGCCATTAAGTACTGCTGTTGATTTCAAGTTAATAACAATAATTTTGCCTGCCGGGGCATCCTCTTCTGATTTGAGCTTAAACCCCTCTTAGGAATTTGCTATAAGTTCATGTGCTATTTTTTAAGACTTTTCCAACAAGTTAAAGCTTGCTATAGTTGATTTTTTGTTTTCAGAAAAATATAACAGGTACACCTGTAATACCTAAAATTTAAAAAAGTTGAGATGAAAATTCACCTAAAAATTATGCCCCATTTTTTTGCACATTACCAAAATCATTGAAACTATTTTTATAAAATTTGATATTTTAATTTGATCATTTTGATATATATAAGTATATATAAATAATTAGGCATAATAGTATTTCTGAATTAATGTAGTTATTAAATAAATTTTATAATGTTTTATTTAAGTTAATATAGCAAATTAATGTACTGTAACAAAATTTGAGTTTTTTTTCAAAATTTGATGCCATGCAAGGGTAAATTGACTAATTCATGATGAGCATAGCTTATAAGATAGTTCCATTACATAACTAATCAAGTAGATTGCTAATAACCTAAACAAATTTATCCGATTTCTCCCTGATCCCTATCCTTTCTATCCAGACGAAATCAGATAAGAAGGGGGCTCAGGTAGGATCGGTAAAGAGAAATAGAGAAGAAAAAGAAAGAAGAAGAAGAAGAAGAAGAAGAAGAAGAAGAAGAAGAGGAGAAGAAAAAAAAACAGTGCAAGGCCAGGGAGGGGAAAAGTAGGGACCTTGGGGAAAAAGAAATGGAGAAAATAAGGGGGGCTCAGTACTGTAAGAACAGAGAAGGGAAAATAGGAAAAAAAAAAAGAGAGAGAGAAGGAAAGCATAAAAGAGAAAGAAGGAGAAAGGAGGGAAGAAGAGAAGAAGAAGAAAAATTAGGAGAATAAGAAAAAGAAAGGGAAAGTAAGCGTAATGAAGACATGGGGAAGAGAAGAATTCAAGTATGAATCTAATTTTAGCACTTTTTTCCTTAAATTGAGTTTGGATTTGAGTTTATAGGATCAAGGTTTGAATAAAGAGAAATTACTTTGAGGTAAAAATACTATTTGAGCATAATTAATTTAGTCTTGAGTTGGTGTGGGCTCCGAAATTTGCGCTCAGGCCTTTCCGTCCCTTCGGGAGAGTTTTAATAGATTCAGTTCTGAGGTAAATTTTGGGAAGGCATGTGAGTTTGTAGATAAGACACTACCCAGATATTTCGCCCTCATTTTGCGAGAACTTTATGATCTGAGTTCTGATTTCCTATAGGCGCAAGCCACTATAGTTAATTTCCCCACCCGATCACGGGATAGAATTTTGATTAAGGCTAGTCGTCGATCAGATACGGAGAAATATGTGTTATCTGGCATATAGTAGTAACATGGGTTTAGATTGTGGAAATTGGATATTTAAACTTAGAGATTTTACCATCTTGCACTTAAAGTGTGTGGTGGGGGAATGGATGATGGACCCGATTAAGATCCCATGATTTCTGTCATCCCGGGCCATCATGGTCACTGGTCTACTTAGTTAGAGGAGGTAGTCGACTAAACCTAACAGAAGGATCCTTATCGAAAGCCATGTGTTGCTTCGTCCAAGGGTACCTTGTAGACATGAGGTGAATATTTGTATAAGGGGACAAATTTGAATCCACCTTCATTAATAGAGGGCTTTGTGACCTATCAATTATATCCTATTAATTCATATCTCAAGGATTTGATGCCATTGGGGAGCATACAGTCTCTGGCCATGACCGTAATTTAGGGGAGTCATTTGGCGGAAAACCACTCGGTTCACAAGGCCTCGATCATAACTGTTTACCTGCTGTGTCTTTTGGCGGTAAAATTGTCGGTTAGATGATATGTGTCATGTCCTTACTGGTAGGACATGATTTGAGAATGTATCCTAGTGATATTCTCGACCATATATTAGTTCTTTATGAGCTGAAGTTATTTTCAGATTTGTCCACCTCGGCAAATTATTATGAAGGGTGGATGGATTTTACTTTAATCGTTTGATGGTTAAATTTTAGTTTTAAATATTTGAATTTTGGTGCTTTTGGGATTTTAGAATTTTTGAGTATTTGGGTGGCACTTGAAGTGTTTGTCAATTGACCCATTCAGTTGAGATTTTCGTTCAAAGCGGCCATCATTAAGGTTATTACGAAAAATTCCTTTTATGGGCTGAACATTGTCAATTCTAACTTGTCGATAGAGGATTACATTAGCCACATACTGTATGCTTTTGTTAGTGAATTTCTTTTGTTATAGACCTTGAAAGTTTGATGTGAACATATAAAACAGATATTCCAGTCGACATCTTGATCATATATCTGTTTGATAATTCAAGCTGTGTCGACTTCTATCCATCCATATAGAAGGATCGACTCGAACTGAGGTTCATTTATTAACCCGCGCATCATCCCTAGGCATCACGTGTGTACCCATAACATACTCGTCAGGGCCCATGTGGGTTTATGACTATACGTACATTTTTTGGTGTTTGTGTGTACAAATTGCAGTGCACATGTGTTGGGGGTATTTTGGGACATATGCAAATGCCTTTTGTCCACTTGCATGGAAGTTGTGGATCTGGTAGCATAGCGTCGTACTATGATAATTTGCCCATTTCTAACAAGTGATTATCATGCACTACTTGTTTTCTACAGGTGGATTGTTGTGCACTGATGAATCTCATGTTATTGTTCGTAGGTAATTGCATTCCATGCAGTTCTCTTGTACTAGCTCAAATACAACCCGTTGTATGTACAATGAGTATTCTATAGTAGCTCATAAGCATCTACAGTTGTTATGATCCTTTTGGCACTTTGTTCGTAAGTGACATATGATGTATACGACGGGTCTTCTACGACTGTTACGTTTGCTTGTAGGTGTGCTTGCGTTTGTTGCATTCCTTATGTATTTGTTGTTGTCTTTGGTCTTTTCAGCACATCTGCTATTGCTATCTGTAAGAAGGTAGATGTATTCATTTACAAACTGAAATTGATTACCGGATACTACATTCACGGAAGTCTTTCTGCATCTACCCATAGGTGACATGTGGTGCATATGACGGGTCTCCTACAATCTCGTAGATATTTGCACTTTGCTACGTATTATTTGCTCCTGCTTGTAGGGAGCCAGTACATTCGACTAACGTTGGACAATTTTTGGCTATGGAGGTACTGTAGTGTCTTTGCTACAACAACTGGTAGGTACTTTGAATAAGCTGAGGACATGCTTCCATTGCCCCACCCATATGTACTCCAGGTGTACTGTTTTTTGACTATATAAGACATGATATACATACATCTGCATCTTGATTTTGATTGCAGATTGTTGCTATGGTTTCCTTACAGGTGTTGGTAGGATAACTGCCATATCCGAGATACATTCAACATTATCACTTGTTGATGAGCTAGTAAGGTTGATGTATCCTCTTGAGGTTGAAGCGTTTTCGATCATAATTAGGAGACACTAGTCATATGCAGGTTGTATCAATCGTCTTTATTCATGGATGTCGCATAGCATTTGTCACACCTTCTCCCCGCTTTACCCATGAGCATGACATTGCATATTTCTTGCTACCATTCAAGCATACTTCATTGATTGCATTGCTACGTGCCCATTGCTCTTGCTCATAAATGATGCATTTATCATTTGTTGTATACAATGAATCTTTTGTTTGCTCATTAAAGTTTGTATCTCAGTTGGCATGGTAACCTCTTGATATTGAATGAAAACCATTTACATTAATTCCCAGCATGTCATTACTATTCCATCTGATTGTTGTCTAGGGATGAGTTATAGTTGTGCTTGCAGGAGTTTGGTATATCGGCTCATATTTGTAAAACTTGCATATTCCAGCTTTCCTTTACTTGTCAAATTCATGTTGTTTATGAGCAAAACAATAAATTATGCATACTAAGGCTTCAACATAAGTCCTCCATCCCTTCATTGATCTTTGTTTGCATGATCAAATTCTTTGATCAACATTTATATTTTTAACATGATCATACATTCATCAAATTAGAGTCTGACTCTCTGTATTATTCATTTGAGTTCAAGCTTTATGTAATGTTGTCCAGTTCAAGATTTTCTTGATCAAATCCGATTTAAGTCTTTTGCTCATTTATTCAAGTTTAAATTTAATTCATTTGATGTTCAAATTCAAGTCTCAGCCTTTGTCATTTGGTCCAAATCAAGTTCATAAGTCTCCTGTTAATTTGTCCAAGTCCTTGTATGTTTTAGATAAAATTTCGGGAACCTCCCGATGTCTCCCCCGTTTAGGGGAAATACAGGAAACTGAGCATTCCTGTCACGCTAAGAAAAGCGTGTATTATAGATGTTCGTGGACACCGTGGTCATAATCTTCATCCCACCACACCAAGAAAGGCATGTTTGGGTCTTCAAAGGTACCCGTTTGAAAACGCATTTGAATTTCTCCCGCCAAGCTACATGAGCGTCTAAGGGTACTTATAAGTATCCACACCTCCTAGTAGACACCGCACCGGGGTCCCTTCCCACCACATCAAGAAAAGCGTGTATAAGCGATTTTTCAGTGCGACGCGAACGCCAAAAATAGGTTCTCGAAATTTTGAGTTTAGATAGATTATACTTTCGATGACGTTGGCAACTGCAAAAAAAAATACACAAAATGCACCAAAAAAACTACAATGCACAAAAATACATGATTGCATAAAATTCGCTCCCTCGTTTTTTGTGCAACTTCTTCCCAGTTTTCCTCTGTTCTTTTTTTATACACATTCATTCTCTTCATCCTCATTTTTTTATTTTCTCAAACTTCCCTGTTTTCTCTCTTTCCTTTTCTTATTCTTCTCCCT